AATGTGCGACGGTGCTGCGATTATTGGTGTTAATGACAGCGGAAAGGTAAACAGCTCCTCTTCGCCCACCACCTTCTGTATAGTTTGTGGTCATAATGACGAGATATATGGTCTACTTAAGCTGCTCTCTCTCTCTCTCTCTCTCAGTACCCCAGTAACGCACATGCACCCAACAACCTGTCGTGCCAGCGGTCGTTTACGCCAACTGACAACACACAAAACCCTCCAGCATTTTTCTTACCGAATTTGGAAGACATTGACGATAAAGACCTTAGCATTTCCTGTGTCAAGAACCCTCGGTAGCTAGGGAAGTGAGGGAAGGGGTGCAGGAGGCGGAGATAGAGGGGGGATTGTGGGGGTTGTGGGGGTGGGGTAGGGTGTACTGGTGTTCGTACGTGAGGTCTTTTTGAATACAGTGTCCCCAACCTGTGATTGCATCTAGGGTAGTCACACAGGGGTAGTTAAGAGTGCCCCTATACCTATAAGGGACTGAGGTATTATACTGGCATATTTCTTTAGGCTTTATTAAATTTCAAACTTTCTTTTGTTTGTTAAAGAAAATATCGAGTTAATATGATTCTGTACCAAAAATATGTTGAGTATTTTATAATTTTCTTTGATCCGGTTTTCATTATAACTTTGTTCACAGTAACTTACGTCAGCTTGGCCAGACGAGTTCGCTAAGTTGATCACTTGGGCAACCGTTGTGGTTTTGTTGCCAGAATCTTGAAGACACTTGAAGAAGTTCAGGAAGTGACATGAAGGAGGGAGAAGAGAGATAGATAATAGATAGATATATAGATAGATAGAGAGAGAAGGGGAGGGGGGATAAAGAGAACAAAAGGCTAAATGAAACGAATGATTCATATATTATTTCACAATTTACTGCATCGTCGTATAACAATTGCAAACAGTACATACTATACTTCAACACACATAATACTATACATATTAATAATAGCACTTCAAACAAGCGTAAATATTTGGGTATCAATTTAGCCAATATACAGCTTTTATCACCTCTAAAACACAACTCTTAATTGTGTACATTAATTTGGCAACTGGGAAGTTTCGACTGAGTATCTGAAACACCAATTAAGGGTTCATAATAGGAGTTCAAACTGAGCAAGATGTTATTTTTGGAACCTTCGTGTGTGTGTGTGTGTATGTGTGTGTGTGCTTACGTGTTTATCTCTTCACAGTATGTACGAACATGTTTGTATCTCAAGTGTGGATGATAAGGTCACGTCTTCTGCATCAAAAAACAAACAGCGACTCACGCATAAGACTCCTGTACTTGGTTGAGGACAGTTGCCGCGTCTCCATGTATTATTTCTTGAAACACATCGTAGCCAAAACACCCTTTACACTCCTGTACTAAACTGTATCAAACCCAAATGAACTACTACAACGCCATCTATGAGTAAACACCTGGTTCAGAGACTCGTTCTAACGGTCCAGAGACTCGTTCTAACGGTTCAGAGACTCGTTCTAACGGTCCAGAGACTCGTTCTAACGGTTCAGAGACTCGTTCTAACGATCCAGAGACTCGTTCTAACGGTTCAGAGACTCGTTCTAACGGTTCAGAGACTCGTTCTAACGGTTCAGAGACTCGTTCTAACGGTTCAGAGACTCGTTCTAACGGTTCAGAGACTCGTTCTAACGGTCCAGAGCCTCGTTCCAGTAGTTCAGAGGCTTATTCCAATTGTTCCAAGACTCATTCCAGCATTTTAGTCACTCGTTCCCACAATTTGGAGATTGGTTTCAACATCTCCAAAGACTCGTCTCAGAAGTTCGGAATCTCAGGCGTGTAAAGACAGTTGTGGTGGCGGCGGTTCATTTAATTTCTCGCTATGTCAAAACTCTTGTGACCATGAATAAAGACTTTTCTTGATTATCTATTTTTTAGATGAACCCCAAGATTGGGAGACAGTCTTTGAGGTTGAAAGAATGTATACATATAAACCATATAAACTCATATACATATAGCTTAAAGGTTAAGTTCTAAAACCTTGGAGTTTAAACCTTAAACCATCATCCTCAAAGGATTAAAACACTTTTTAGCTATAAACACAATTAGATATTTTTCATGACAAATTTTTCTCCTAAATAATCGGATTTTATTAAAAATAATTCTTTGGATTTTGTCTTATTTTTTTCTTTAAGATACCCTTTAAATTGTCTTAAAAATACTCAGATTTTCTTAACGACATTGAAACTCTCTTAAAATATAATTTGGGATTACTTACGGCACTATATTTCATGAAGAAAATCACACTATCTTAGGGTCAATCACATCTTGCTAAAGACAGTTTCATGCCTCCTTCAGTATAAGTTAATTTCTTGAAGGTAATTTTGTCTTTTTATGGTATTGTAAATGTACGGAGAGTCTTAGGTGATTCTTAAAGGCACTTGTTTTGATTAACGTTTTTTATATCTTGATTCAAGTTTAGGACCACTTAAAGGTTTTTAAAGTTCTTGGAGGCACTTGACTTTCTTAAGAGCACTTTGGCCTTTCTTTATTAGTGTCAGATCATCTTAAACCAGACCTAATTTTCTTAAACACTCAGATTTTTCTTTTAGAGGCCAGATTTTCTTTAACCAGACCTAATTTTCGTAAACACACATCCAACACACTCTGATACACAGGTTTGTTTACTAGAGTGTGTGTGTGTGTGTGGTTAGTAGCAAGGATGACTCTGGGTGGTAGTTATTGTATAAGGGCAGGTAGAGGAACCACCATCATCAGGTAGCGTAAACATCCTCCTGTAAGACAAAAAAATTAAGATTGGTATGACTGATATTTCATGAGTATCTATCTATCTATCTATCTATCTATCTATCTATCTATCTATCTATCTATCTACCCCACAAGGAGACTCGCTTACCTGCACCTCTGTAGCATCCAGAAGGTCGATAGGTAGTTCGATGTTTGTGTCGGTAGAGTCGAGTATCTCCTTGGCGCCCCTCGAATAGTCTGCTCTCTGTTTTGACCTGAAGATTCCCCCGTCGTCTGTGTCGTAATCCACCTCCACCGCCCTGTCACGGCAGAGCTGTAGGGGAGAGTAGGTGAGGGAGGAGGAGGAGAGAAGGAGGAAGTCAGTGGGTGGAGGAGAGATGGAAGGGTGGGTAAGGGGGAGTGGAAAGGAGAATAAGAGAGAGGGAAGAAGGGGGGATAGAAGAATGAACGAAAAAGAGAGGGAGAGGTGGAGGAGGAGGACTAGAGACTCCAATGAATGTGAGAAGAGGAGAGGAGGGAGGAGGGGTAGGGAGAGGGAGGTAGGGGTGAGGGATAGAGGACTAGATGAGAGTTTGGAAGAAGAGCAGGAATGAAAGGTAAGAGGAGGAGGAGGGGGGATTGATGGTGATGGAGGAGTAAGAGGTATGTGAGAGGAGGAAACAAAAGAGGATGTAGGGGGAGAGCTGGGGGAAGAGGAGGATGGAAAGAAAAGGAGGTGAGAGGAGGAAGAGTAAGAAGGAGGAGGAGGAGGAGGAGGAGGAAGTAGATAAGGGAGACAGGAGATTGAAGGGGAAAAAGAGTGAGAGACAGGGGTAGAAATATTTCTTTTCACCCAGCTAGCCTCTCATTTCAAGAACCTCAATTTTAACACTCAGGGATAAGTGCTATGTTTTGGTTCACTAAGTGTGGAAATCCCTCGGTACTTGACGTTAAGGTGCTTCTTAGTGACGACCACAGCTGAACGTTTTTTACTTGGGTCTCGGTGAATATTATACAGTATATTAAAATGTTTCTCCTACCTTTTTCTCACCTCTTCCCCGCCACCCTTACTTCCTAAGCACCTCTTTCACCTCATAACCTCAAACTTCATCTCCTCTCTCTCCTGATGAAAATTGATTTAACATTCCCTGAAAATTGAAAGCAAGCCTTCCATACCCTCCTTCCCTGCATATACAGATTCACTTAATATTCAATAAACAATTTCCTTATCAGTTTAACTTAGTTTTTATAACATCCTAATATTTTTATGATAAACCAAGGACGATAAAATCAGTATAAAAAAAAAACTTTACCTCGAGATCCTCATTAATTAATTACTTTAAATAGAAAAAAAAATCACAGTAATTAAAAGGCACTAACGAGACGATCTTACGGTCAACAAGTCTTCGTGTTTATTAGTTTTTTCTTACAGTTATTTTCAATTACGACACTAATCACCAAACTGACCTAATTGGTGACAGAAAATAATGAGTAGATTAATGACATCGGATATTGTTACTTTTATTTGAAAGGTCGAAAATAATGGAGGAACGTGTGATGGTGGAGGCGATGAGATAGTACGAGAGTGAGTGATGGTGGGAGTGGGGAGGAGGGAGAGGAAGGGAAGAATGAGAGAGGGAAGGTGGGAGAGGAAGGGAAGAATGAGAGAGGGAAGGTGGGAGAGGAAGGGAAGAATGAGAGAGGGAAGGTGGGAGAGGAAGGGAAGAATGAGAGAGGGAGGGAGAGGAAGGAAGAATGAGAGAGGGAAGGGAGAGGAAGGGAAGAATGAGAGAGGGAAGGAGAGGAAGGGAAGAATGAGAGAGGGAAGGTGGGAGAGGAAGGGAAGAATGAGAGAGGGAAGGTGGCGGTGGTGGTGGAAGTTGACAGGAGTAGGGGAGAAAGATGAAGAGAAGGATGGGAAGGAAGAAGAAGATGGGAGAATGAGAGAGGGAAGGTGATGGTGGAAGTGAGCAGGAGAAGGGGGGGAGGAGAAGAGGACAGGAGGGAGGAGAAGGAAGAAGAGGGAAGGGAAGGAGGAAGAGAGAGAGAGAGAGAGGCTTGGAAATTTTAAAAGGGAGAGTCCCATTCGCCCTTTGAGATAGAGGAAAGAAAGGGTATAAAAGTCCCTTGAAGGTAATAATTAGTAAGGTGGTGGACAGGTAGTGTGTGTGTGTGTGTGCGTGTGACTGAACGTTAGTCACTTCACACGAAAAAGGCTTCCCTCTCGCGCTCTTCAGTTTTAATTGCTGGATTCTTTTCATCGTCTTTGTCTTCGTTCTTTTCATGTCATCTTTTTCTTCTTCCTGTAAGCTTCTCCGTCTACTTTCTTACTGGAGCTGTACGTCTACGAGATTTAAATTCTAATGTAATATACAGGTGTGTAATTGAGAGAGAGAGATGGGGGGGGGGGGCTGGGGGGGTGGGGGCATAACACAGACTTAACAACAAATAGTTAGCTGATCCAGGAAATAATACAGTACTACTATAGAAGTGATAAAAATAAGTCTCAGGTGAGTTATGTCACTGACCCCGTTAATACAAATACTTCAGGTTGTTATTTAGTTTAATCCGACGATATTTCTTTTCGTATGGCGTTTTTGTTACGTGACGTAGTGAGTTTTACAACATCTCTGAGAGTGATGTCTAACTGTAAGTTGGTTTCCTGGGTGTTCTGATAGTTAATCTTGTAGTTTTACGTGGGAGATGTTTGGGATAGATGTCATTAGGTGGGTAGAAATAGAGAGAATTATGTAAGTTATGTCACTGGGAATTTTTACTGGACGTGTGAGAGTAAATCCCTAACAAAGAACGTGTTGCTGTAGCTCTTGTACGATATAGCAACACATGGGAAAGGTATAATATATTTTCCTTTGATGAATATTTTATATAACCTAAGATGATTATACTAAGACGCCCCATCCCCTCCCCATCATGACCCATCAAACACCACCAACTTACCCTACTCTTGGCTCTGAAGACACTGTCGGGTCTGTCTTCGTCGCTGAGGAGGGAGGCGTGGCCACTGTCGTAGAGGGAGAGCCGAGACTCAGCCCTGAGGCCCCTGTCCAGCTTGAGGTGTACCGGAGACTCCCTTACGTCCTCCTCGCTCTCCTCCGTGATGGTCTCGTGAAAGTGGAAGCCAGAATCACCTCGACTACGATAGCTGAGGAGGTTCTGTGGGGTGGTGGGATGTGAGCTGGCTGGCGGGGTGACCGGTGACTGTGATTGTCCTTGTAGGTTGATGTAGTCCACGCTCAAAGTATCCCCTTCAGGAATCTCTTGAGGGAAGTTGTATGGTGTTCTCGTGGATTCCGTCTCTTCAGGAGAGTTTGTCCTGGAGGCTGTCGTCTGACGTCTTCTGCTAGTGTAGGAGTGACCTGTACTTTGGTCAGTTCTTGTGGAATGCGAGCGGTTGGTAACTTCTTCAGGAGATTCCAGTCGTTCATCCGTCGGCGAATTTGACCTAGAGGGCGCCGTCTGCCGTCTCCTGCTGGTATAGGAGTGGTTGGTGTCTCGTCTGGACTTGCTGGTTCCTGTTGCTCGCCGGGTGCTGACCTTAGACGACGTGACGGATGGAGGTCTGAGGGAAGAAGTTAAATTACTGATGATGAATTGGATATTGAGATCACGTTACTATTAGTCTTAATGTGTAGTAAATTATTATTATTATTATTATTATTATTATTATTATTATTATTATTATTAATGTAAATACTACTACTAAATTATTATAATTTTTATTGGTATTATTATTATTATTATTATTATTATTATTTTTATTTTTATTATTATTTTATTATTATTATTATTATTATTATTATTATTATTATTATTATTATTATTAATATTTTTATTATTATTTTATTATTATTATTATTATTATTATTATTATTATTATTATTATTATTATTATTATTATTATTATTATTATTATTATTAATATTTTTATTTTTATTATTATTTTATTATTATTATTATTATTATTATTATTATTATTATTATTATTATTATTATTATTATTATTAATATTTTTATTTTTATTATTATTATTATTATTATTATTATTATTATTATTATTATTATTATTATTATTGTAAATACTATTAGTACTACGTCATTAACCTTCTGCGTGTACTGTTTGTAGATCTTCCTCTGGTTTTTCTCCTGTTATCAGCATATTCTTCCTCTTCTTCTTCTCCTTCTTCATCGTATCCTTTCTCTTCATCATGTACTCCCTGTCCTTCTTCCTCTTTCTCGTATTTTCTCTCCGCCTCGTCAGCTTCCAACCCTTCTTCATACTGTCTTTCATCCCTCTCTTCTCTCTCCTCTGGCGTTCTCCACCTCACTGTCTCTTCCCCTTCACCTCTTATCTCTTCCCCATTATTGGATTTTTTGCTATCTCTTCTTCTCCCTGGGGGTTGTTTGTGTTTCTTGTTGTTGTTACGTGTTTGTTGTGTTTGTTTTAAGGATGTTTGTGAGTTTCTCCGGCTGGTTTTGGCGGGGCCCTTATAATAGTTGCTGCCTGTGAGGACCAAATAGTAAGTTTAGTCAGTGATTGTGTGATGGAAGTTGTCGTGTGTGTGTGTGTGTGTGTGTGTGTTATCCAGTTCAGTGTCAGTGTGTGCGTGTGTATTACTACTGACCTCTATAGCCGCTGCCCACGTGGATATCACCATCAGGTTGACCGTAGTTGACCTTGCGGAAGAGCTCGTTAGCGGCGGAGACGACGTAGGTTCCCTTGTTGACTATCTCCTCCGGCTTCTTCAGGATCTTCCCGCTGAGGTGATAGATTCTGAAAAAGGAAGACAGGAGATAGAGAGAGAGAGAGAGAGAGAGAGAGAGAGAGAGAGAGAGAGAGAGAGAGAGAGAGAGAGAGAGAGAGAGAGACCCACCCCTTGAACCAACTATCATAATTGGCACACCTATGAAGAGTCACACCTAAGCACACCTGAGCCAAGAGAGCCACAACCTACATAGCACTCCATAACTAAGATTCCCAGACCAGTGTGGGTATTAAACGAGGGTGCCCAGGCGTGTAAATGGCCATTCCGAGATAACAATGGAACCAAGATGCTAAGTATATACAGAGGCACCCAGCTGGCACTAAACAAAGAGAATCTCAGAATGGTGAAGGTCTTAATCGAGAGTTCCAGGGAAGGTGGATGGTACTCCTAGACAACAATGGCTCCCGGAACACACACACACACACACGCGCACACACACACACACACACACACACACACACACACACACACACACACACACACACACACATTACCATAAGTTTCATCTCTCACTCTTCAAGACTCAAATTATCTACTAGGAGAGGAATAAGTAGTTGTTTCCTTTGTATCTTGTTTGCTAATGTGTAAGACTGAGAGGCGATGATAAATGTACCTTTGTGTGACGGGGACAGAAACAGACAGAAAGATAGACAGACTGACAAACGAAGACGGAAAGGCAGATGGAGAAAGAGAAGAACTTAAGGAGAAAGAGGACATACGGAGAGAGAAGAAATACTAGAGAGAAAGAGAGAGAGAGATTCTGAAAAGGGAGGACGGTTATACCTGTGTGTTATGTGATGCCCTGGCCTAATTGACTGACAGGGAGAAAGAGATGGGAAGAGAGAGAGAGAGAGAGAGAGAGAGAGAGAGAGAGAGAGAGAGAGAGAGAGAGAGAGATATCCTCAGGCAGTTAGGGCAGAGGTATAGGTAACCTCAGTATGGCCTCCGGATAGGACACACTATTGTGGTCTTTCTCTATTGTACTGTTCACAAAGAGTTATCTTCCTTCACTCCTTACCGCTCTCTCTCTCTCTCTCCTTGTTTCCTCCCGTCTGCATTCCTCCTTTTTCCCTTTCTTTCTGCCTATCACACTACCTGCCCGCCTTCTTCCTCTACCCTACCCCCCCTCTCTCCTTCCCCCTCCTTCTTTCTTTGCCTCCCTCCCTCCCTTTTTTATTCCCTACCTCCTTTCTTCCCGCCCTTCCTGCCTCCTTCTTTCTTACCTGCCCTCCTTCCTCTTCACCTCCCTCCCTACCCCCTCCATCCCTACTCATACGGCCCCCAGACCTCGTTGGTTTGAAGTCAACCACTTTCACTTAATAACCTTTCTAGAGCCGGAAATACTTTCTCTTTTACACTTTCATGCTGCTTGCTCTTACTTCATCTCCCTCTCCCCTTTCTCCCATTTTTACACTTTCTCTCATCCCTTCATCCTAACTCTCTTTATTTTCTCTCACTCCCTCTCCTCCCCACCCCCCCTTTCCATCAGTCCTTCACGCTTTCTCTCGGTCCTTGAACTTAACTCTCCCACTTTCTCTCACTCCCTCAATTCTACCTCCCTTCTCTCTCATTTGCTCACCTTCACCCTTACCCTCTTTATCTCACTTCCTGACCGTCTCCTCCCTTGTTCTTTCACCTTTGCTGCCTCTCTTTTCTTTTATCCATATTAACTCCTTTCTCGCCCCTCACTCTTACCTCCTCTTCTGTCATATCCCTGGTTATTCCTAGAAATCTTCACTGTCCCTCCTTCCCCCCACCCAATAAGAACATAATATTACCGTTTAAAGTTTAGCAATGAAAGATAAAATTACTTTTGACTCAAGTTCATCGACCGTTTTACCTGAACAAGGAGCCAATTTCTTTATAGTAGCAGATAACACACACAGACACACACACACACACACACACACGCACACACACACACACACACACACACACACACACACACACACACACACACACACACACACACACACCAACTATAACTAAACTACTGTAACTGACTCTGAACACAGTAGTGACTTGACTCAAACTGAACACAATGATTGAACCTAACTGAACCCACTGACTCACGAACAACGAACTGGGCCACGCCACTCACCTCCTGACGGGGCCGTGGGAGAGGCGGACCTTCTCAGACAGTCTATGGAGAGCTTGGTCCCAGTTGCTGAAATCCGACTTGGAGAACTTAAAGGGTATTGACTTGTTCTTCTCCCCGTTCTTGTAAATGTTCACGTCGAACTTCTCGTTCTTTTGTACTGGTCGGTTCCTTATGGGCTGTCAAGGAAAAATGTGAAGACAATGTATCAAATGTTGGACGAGAAAGGAACAGAATTGTGAAGAAAGATGAGGGAAATGTATCTCATGAAGTCTTTATTTTGTAGTATAAATTATGACGGAAGGGAAGCAAGTCAGTCAGTCTACCTATCTATCTATCTATCTGTCTATCTATCTATCTATCTATCTATCTATCTAATGTATGTATGTATGTATGTTTGGATGTCATTCATTAGATTGTTAGTCAACCTATTTAAGGCCTCTAAGGTATCACGTTTGGGGCAAGAATGTGACAGACTACTGGGTCCTGTAAGGGTCATTTTTGGGCGTTGAGGTGCCAGGTGGGTGTTCTTAGTCTATGGTCGTTGTTACTATTAGTGTGTGTCGTAACTAACACACTCACCTTGCCAAGTTTAGCGAGGTTCTTCATAGGCCTAGGCTTACCGATGCTCTCATAGCTGAAAGAAGAAAAAAAAAACATTAAAACAACAACATAAAACACGCACCTGAAGCAAACACACACCTGAACCAGACACACCTGAAGCGTACACCTAAAACAAACACACACCTGAATTACACACCTGAAACACACACACACGACCAAAGAACAAAAAAAAACAAAAACCAGTCACGTCAAAAAGGGCGGAGATGAACAGAGGATGAATCACAACAAGAGATGGTAGAGTCTTTGTTCTTATTGTCCGCCATCTTGAGCTACATAATAAGCGTCTGTAGGTGAAAAGAAAGGTGAATCATACATGCTCATATACATACTTAGGGCGTGTGTATTCTCTCCCTCTCTTTATGTAAGTTAAATGGACTTGTACAAAAAACTTCTCTTGTTATTGTTTAGAGTTGAAGACGTTGTAATGGCCGTCTCGTGTAGGGTTGCCAACACCCTTTAAATTATTATATACCATAGATTGTCTCAGAAAAATGTATACAAACAAACTTACCGCCTTTAATGGAGGTCGTGTGGCTGTTTGTATTACCACGTGAACATTCTCCTCATTAGTGGGAGATCTTATACGTCAACAAGTGAGGATAATGTTGATTTTGTCATATTAACATTCACACGATATCCAGGAAAATAGATATGGTTGTTTGGATATATTTTTCTGAGACATATTTTGTATAGTGTAATTCATAATATTTGTTTTTTCATTTTTGTTTTTATATAAAGATCATAAAGAGTGATAATGGTCTTCTTGCCTCGGGTTTTTTCCCTCTAGAACTATTTTTTTCATAAGGTATATAAGGCAGATGATATCAAATGCTAGTGGATTTACAGTATTTTCTTACCTTAAAAGAATATACGTTTCTCTCTCAGTCGTAAAAATTAGTCATCCAGAACTCGCCTATATAGAGCTAATTGACTCAGCTTCTTAAAACGATATAGTATTTAACAAACTTTTATATCTAATAGCAGAACTGGCAGTCATAGAGCTAGATGGCGCAACTTAAAAAGGAAATCGGTCAAAATATTTTCCACGAACCTTTTTTATTTTATTTTTCTTCATGTCGGAAACGAAGTGGGAGCCGAGTTAGAACATTAATCTGACCCGCTGCCAAGAACCACCCCCCTCCCCCCTCCCTCCCCCCAAGATGTTTTATTGGTGAATTTTATTTTATTTCCTTTTCTTTCTTTCGTTTTCTTTCTCTTTTTTCTTGTTCTATCTTTTTTCTTATTTTATATGCACTACCGTCATCTCTCAACTGTTATTGGACTGGGAAAACACTTTTTTTAACGTTTGTATAGTAACTCTCTCTCTCAAAGGAGTTTCAGTGATCAGATTGTAATCATTTGGGACTGACAGCTGGCTCTTCCCGCCATTCCATACAACGGTGAAGAGGCGCCATCTGTGTCACCACCTGTCGCTACACCCACCCACCCTTTTGTTGACTCGAATGTATTGTGTAGAGTTATGTTCGGTGAGATATTCTGTTCTACTACTATTACTACTACTACTACTATTGTTATTATTACTCTTATCATCATCATTAATGTTTTTATTATTATTATTATTATTATTATTAGTAGTAGTGGTAGTAGTAGTAATAGTAGTGATAATAGTATATCTCGCTGTTAATGACAAAACTTCTGCTAATAAAATTCTTGCATATAAAAACGTAACAAAAAGTTTTAATGAAAAAGAAACTTTGTTGGCTGAGAAAAATGACTTGATTCTTAATTCTTAAAATATTGGACAATGCCTGAGGGTCAGACATGATAAGACATACGTATGGGTTAGGTTAGGTTAAGATTTGGTTAGGTTAGGTTAAATTAGGTTAGGTTAAACTAGGTTAGGTTAGGGTGGTAGGACGCGGATATGTATTTATTGACGTGAATATCGTCATTATGTTGTCGATTCTGGTGTGGTGTAGTCGAGCACTTCCTCCGTATATTGATTTCTTCGGTTTGTGGAGGTCATGTTGTCACGTAGTTATTTAGCTGTGTGGTGTAGTTACGTGCTTATGAGGGTTTGGTGTAGTTATCGTGGTTATGCATCTACGTGGTTATTTAGCTGTGTGGCGTACTTACGTGGTTATGTAACTACGTGTCTTTGTATATGTGGTTATGAAGCTGCGTGGTTATGAAGCTATGTGGTTATGAATGTACGTGGTTGTGCACCTGTGTGGTTATGCTTAGTCAGGCTCCAGTGTCCACAATATTCACCCGAGCTGGTCGAACTACGCAGAGGAAAACAATCAGTGAAGTCATTTAGTTCAGGTGTTGGGCCGAGGTGTAGGGGGTCAAAGGTCATTAGTAAGTGTCACCACAGTCAAGCTAGGTGTCAGGGTCATCACCTAACTATCTAATGACTACTACTATTATCTCGTGGTACTGGCGCACGTGAGAGCTTCATTAACAGCGTTACTCATACCAATACCTATCACTACCATGACTGTACCATGAATACGTGACACCATTACGCCTGTACCTTAGACTTGGTAGTACTGTATCCATCATCATTATTACCCACCAATCATCGAGCAACTCCTTTATGACGTCATCGATCAATTACTCAAACATGGTGCCATTTTCGTGTCTGCTGAGGGTTGGCGACTACAGCCCTCCACTCCAATCGTTCGCGAGTTGCTCTTTTATCAATCCTGACTTTTATTTTGTATTCAGCCATCTTAATCTGTCTTCTCTAGGATGGTGACAGACGTACGGTAGGTTATCGTGGCGTCACCGTCCCCGCCATGTTGATTGACGAAGTTTCTAAGACCTCTGGTGGCAAAATTAAGAAACTTCACAGGAATGGACGGGACGAACATATGTATACTGTATATAATAGGAGGTGTTGTTTGTCTGTACGTCCTCTACTTCTTTTTCTTCTTCTTCTACTACTACTTCTACTACTTCTTCTTCTTCCTTATTGTCATCCTTTTCTTCCTCCTGTTCAATTAAGGTCTAAATCACACTCTAAAACCAACAAGTTGATCCTTAGAGAGATTATGTAAGAGTGAGAGGATGGCATTTATGGTGTTGGACATCATTTTAATCTCTCGAGTACGATGATTTACTTCTCTTGCCTTCATCCCCTTGAGTACGAACTCGAATTCTTCAACCTCACACCCCCTTGAGTACGACGATTTAGCCCCCCCCAACACCCCCTTAAGTAGGACGTCTTTAACCTCTCCTCACACTGCACCCTTGAGTAGGACGTCTTAAACCTCCCCCCACACTGCACCCTTGAGTAGGACGTCTTAAACACTCTCCTCACACTGCACCCTTGAGTAGGACGTCTTAAACCTCCCCTCACATGCACCCTTGAGTAGGACGTAAACCTCTCCTCACACTGCACCCTTGAGTAGACGCGTCTTAAACCTCTTTCACACTGCACCCTTTGAGTAGGACGTCTTAAACTCTCCTCACACTGCACTCCTTGAGTAGGACGTCTTAAACCTCTCTTCACACCACCTTTGAGTAGGACGTCTTAAACCTCTCCTCCCACACACTGCACCCCTTGAGTAGGACGTCTAAACCTCTCTCACACTGCACCCTTTGAGTAGGACGTCTTAAAACCTCTCCCCACACTGCACCCTTGAGTAGGGACGTCTTAAACCTCTCCTCACACTGCACCCTCAAACACACTGCACCCTGAGTAGACGTAGCACCCTTTGAGTAGGACGTCTTAAACCTCTCCTCACAATGCACCCTTGAGACGTCTTTAAACCTCTCTCACACTGCACCCTTTGAGTAGGACGTCTAAATCTCTCCTCACACTGCACCCTTGAGTAGGACGTTTTTAAACCTCTCCTCACACTGCACCCTTGAGTAGACGTCTTAAACTCCCCCCCCACACTGCACCCTTGAGTAGGACGTCTTAAATCTCTCCTCACACTGCACCTTGAGTAGGACGTCTTTTAAACCTCTCCTCACACTGCACCCTTGAGTAGGACGTCTTAAACCTCTCCCCACACTGCACCCTTGAGTAGGACGTCTTAAACCTCTCCTCACACTGCACCCTTGAGTAGGTCGTCTTAAACCTCTCCCCACACTGCACCCTTGAGTAGGACGTCTTAAACCTCTCCTCACACTGCACCCTTGAGCAGGACGTCTTAACCCCCCCTCCCACACTGCACCCTTGAGTATAATACATCGTTTCCATGGACGAAAATATGAGCATGTTGAAAGGGCGAAGGGACTGTGCTCAAGGGATTAAATCATTGTACTCGAAGGGTTAAGCTATCTTACTGGGTTAATTCACGATACACAGAGGGGCTGGTGTTGTCCTGAATGAATTAGTAAAACAAGATCAAAATGATCTCTATGTAAGGGTTGTGTAAAGTCGAGATTGGCAATTTTGTTTACGGTGCCTTTAAAAACTCTTAAATAACCATGCAAAAATATGTTCTATATATGGAATGTAAAGGGTTCAGATTAGCATATCCACACGCGTGTTATTTATTCGGAACACCGATTAAAAATAAGCTCTTTATGAGGAGTAACTAAGGACCATATTATCATGTTCCCCCACCGCGTTAGAGACGCTTTTAGAAATAGATAATACTCACCTCTATGGATGGGGTAAATAAGATCTATATTGGCATTCTCGCTCATGTTCTGTATGTGATCTTTTGAGCTGTCAGGCAAGAATGAACTTTAATTAACGGACACGTAAGGTTTAAATTGAGGTTCTGTTGTGACCAAAGCCTAAAATATCATCATAAGAGATCCGTGGAAAATTTATTCGGGATAGGTTAGGTTAGGTTAAGTTAGGTTAGGTTAGTTTGGGAGAGAGATTTTTTCCTTCCTTCACCAGAAACTTTATAGTGGAGAAATAAATATATCTAAAAAATGCTAGAAAAGCAAAATAACATAACATAACATAACATAACATAACATAACATAACATAACATAACATAACATAAGCTAACCTAACATAACATAACATAACATAAGCTATCGTTACATAATCTAATCTAGAATACCATTACCTAACCTAG